CCATCCTTTCCCACAGCCCACCTGCCTGGCTGAGTTCAAGCAGATCAAGTCCATCAGGTGCGTCCTGCTGGAGGAGGGCCAGGCAGTATTGCAGTTGGACATCGAAGGTGCCCCCCAGGTGAGCATCTCTGGGAACCTGAAAGCTCTGAAACAAGGGAGTACAAGTGCAAGCTGGGTGTTCTTGTGCAGGTGGTCAGAAAGCTAGGGATCCTCTTGTTAAGAAAACTGCACCTAGTTCTTAGTCAAGGTACCAGGATGATGATACATTATACGGAAGATATCTCAGGCAGCAAAGCTGATTAAAGTGTCAAGAAAAAAGTTGGGGGAGTTTATTTTGGGGGTGAGGAGGGAATAAAGGTGACCAGAAGTCAAGGTCCTAATCAGAGGCCTAATTTTGAACAAGCGAACAATGACTCCGAATCAAGACCTCAATGACCGGGGGTTTTTTGTAGGTAGGAGAATCAGAAAGACCTTAGAATCTCCTCTCATTTATATCTCTCCTCTCATTCATCTATCCCCTGCCTCCCTCCCTCCCTCTTCTGTTTCTACTCTTGCATATTTTATACCTATGTTACAAGGCATTGTGAGACCAAAGTAAGTCAGACCTGGAACTGGCCTTCCTAGCGGTTAAGGCAATCAGTTTGGAGGAATGACAAGAGTGCCCCCTGGTGGCTGTGGGGAATGCAAGCCAAGCCCCAGGAGAGGCACGGATGGAGTCCAGCCGGGGGTGGATGGCAGGAGTGTGCAGTTTCTTCTCCTTTCCTGTGAGGTAGACTCCTGCCAAGTCTCTGGGGTCTCATGCTTAGCTGGTCTCTTCTCTGCAGTCCTTGTCCATCAAAACCTCCTCTCTGGCAGAAGCCGAGAACATGGCTGACCTCATAGATGGTTACAGCCGGCTGCAGGTGGAGAACAGAGCCTCTCTCATCATTCATCCCAAGAAAGGTGAGTTTCCACTTACAGGCAAACTGGCCAATGGGCAGCTAGCAGCACAACTGAGCCTAGCCGCCTCCCTGTCTAGCCCAGCCCCATCCCCTCCTCCATTCCCCCTCCCCTATCCCCCCTCCAGCAGGGGAAGCTAAGCCATTGACCAATATGTGAATAAAGTGGCTTTGATACTGTGTGGAAGTGCTTACCCAGCCCCTCAGGAGTTGCCTGTGGTCGCATTCTGGGTCCCAAGCTACAGGCCCTGACCCACTGGTCAGTGGTGGCCTGGAAGCCAGCTTCTGGAGGAAAGGTGTTGGTAGCCCCAGAAAGGTTGAAGCTATTGCTAGAACCTGGCTGGTCCCTCTCTTGTAGGAAAGGGTGGGCCAAGGAGAGGGTGTCTCTGCTTTAGAATTTGATTGGGAAGCAGGGGGGTCTGGGCTGGAACTTGTGGACGGTAGGAGGAAACCTAATAATTTCTTCTACAAAGATGATTCCAATTCAGGCCAAAGGCTATCCAGCTCCCACTCAGACTTTCAAAGAGCACGGAATGGTGGGGAAAGGTCTCCCTTGTGTTGGCTCACAGGAGCAGTGAGGTCAGCCATCCACCCAGGACCCTGTGTCTCTGGCTCCAGCTCCTTTTCTTCCTCCTCTCTTCCCAGATGGTGAGAAGCGGAACAGCCTGCCCCAGATCCCTGTGCTGTGAGTACAACCAGATGGCTGGGAACAGGCCCTGCACTCAGCCTGTCTTTCCTGGAGAAGGCAGACCAAACAGGAGCCTCCAGCCCCATGGTTTCTGGGCCCCAGGGGAGAATGCTGGAACCTCACAAATGGTGATTTTTGTGGCGATTTTTTTTTTTAAATCCTCACCTGAGGATATTTTTCAGAGAGTGGAAGGGAGAGAGAAGAAAAACATCAATGTGAAAGAGACACATTAATTGGTTGCTTCCTGCATGCACCCCAGGGCTGGGGATCGAGCCTTCAACCAAGGTACATGCCCTTGGCTGGAATCAAACCCGGGACCCTTCAGTCCACGGGCCGATACTCTAACCACTGAGCAAAACTGGCTAGGGCCACAAGTGGGTTTTTTTTGCCAGTAAATTTCTCCCAGTAAATTCTTGCAAGAATTTCTAATGTCTCTGCTCTAATGCCACCTGGTATCTAATCCTAGGGGATGTTGCTGCTGTCCCTTCCCTCCTACCACCTGGAAGCCTGAACCATGCTCCCAGGTTATTGCCATCAGGACAGGCTGGTTCTCTAGGCAGGCAGTGGGCACAGTGCAGCTGGTCCTCCAGGCAGGATGGTAGGAGAGGGTAGGCCAAGATTGCCTCAGGGGAGCATTGCCAGGCTCTGAGCTTACTTGGCTTCTGCCCTCTCATCTCCTCCTACAGAAGCCTGGAGGCTCGGCGGTCCCAGCTCTCAGAAAGCTGCAGCATAGGTAAGCCTGTCTGTGTGCTGTCATTGCCTGAGCCCAGAGCCTCTCTTCTACCCGCTCTTGTGACATTGTTAGGGATTCCTTCAAAATTACGGAAAAATGTGCTTCCCCTATGATGTCTCAATGATGTCTTAAAATATCAATCTTAATAGCTCACATGTTTTGCATAGTTAGTATGTGGCACCATGTCTGTCTTAGTCAGCTCAGGCTGCCATAACAAAAAACCACAGACCAGTGGCTTAATCAACAGACATTTATTTCTCACAGTTCTGGAGGCTGGAAGTCTAAGGCCAAAGTCCCAGCAAGATCAGGTCCTCGTAGGGACTCTCTTCCTGGTGTGCAGACAGCTGCCTTCTCTCTGTGTCCTCACACTGTGGAGAGATGGAGAACTCTGCTCTCTTTCTCTTCTTATATGGACATTATTCCCATCATGGGGGCTCCACCCTCATGACCTCATCTAAACCTAATCAGCCCAAAGGTCCCATCTCCAAATGCCATCACACTGGGGGGTCAGGGCTTCAACATATGAATTGAGGGGAGGGGAGGAGGTCACAAACATTCAATCCATAACGGTGTTAAATACATAATAGGTATTATTTATTTGATTTTAGGACATTCCCTAGAAAGGTTCAGTTTACAGTAAAGGAAACTGAGATTAGGGAGACTAACCAACTTGCTCTAAAATAATGCAGCCGGGTAGTAGCAAGCAGGGACTCCAGCAAGGTACCCTGGGCTCTGTGGACACTCTAAAACCTGCCACTGGAGCCTGGTTCTTGCCTAGCTCCTCCCTTCTCCCCTCTCCCCTCCCAGTGATGTCAGCCTTGGTTCCACTGGCTTGACATGGGAACCACACATCTGGTTCCCCGTGGTGCCCTCAGAGGGCATGTTACCCATGGGATGTCCTTTTCCTGTCATTGCAGAATCAGACATCTACGCTGAGATTCCTGACGAGACTCTGCGAAGGCCAGGAGGTAGTTTCCTGACCCTACCCCACTGGCCACAGCCAGGGCCCTGTGAAGTGACATTGTAGGGACACATGTGACACCACAGGGGGACTTTCTTTTTTTGTTTGTCCTTTCCCATATGTGATTCAGACAGGGACAACCTGAGTGAGGCACCTTTGATTTGAAAGCCAAGATCATTCTTTTATCTCCACACTGTTGCCCTTCATGTGCCTGTGGTGGTGTGGGGATCCTAAGAACGAGGACATGGGACCAGCTTTTACAGGGTCTGAGACAACAGAACATTCTAGAGCCCCTTTCGCAGCCCAGCCCCTGGTTCTTGGCTGAGGTGTTGGGCGGGGGGATCTGGTTACACCTGAGCAGAAGGGGAGCAGCCTGGCATTACAACCTGTGGACACGCAGATCCCCGGGTGTCAGCAGTTTCTGAACTCTGAGACTCTGCTTTGTCCCTGTGCACAGGCTCACAGTATGGCATCGCCCGGGAAGATGTGGTTCTGAACTGTATTCTTGGGGAAGGCTTTTTTGGGGAGGTCTACGAAGGTGTCTACACAAACCATGTGAGTTCCGGCTCTTCCCTGACATTCCCCTTCCACTTTCTGTGGGATGAGGGAGAAGCACGAATCTCGCAGGGCTGGGGGCAGCGGTCAGGATGGGTGCGTCTCACAGACTTGGCGTTCTCGGTATTTATGAAATACCCAGGGAGTGATGGAAACAAGTCATTTCCAAGAATGGCAGTGCCAGGGATGAAAATAGAGGCAGCCCCAGGAGAGGGGCGACCAACTCTTGGTGGAAGAATACAAACAGGGCGGCGTGATAACATACAGTCTTGGCAAAAGGAAGGGCGAATCTGAGGCGGGAGGAGTGGTGAGGCCGCGACAGGGCAGCACAGGGTCGGTGGTTGTCCTTCCATCAGGCCAGGGAAAGGGCCGAGCTGAAGGAACAGAGCAGGAAAAATGTGAAAACTAACAATAATAGAGAGAGACTTGGACACGGTATCTGATGATGGCCTTGCACGTGCTCCACACATACCCGCTAACCTTGGGCTGATCCCCTGGCCCCTCAGTCTCTGTTTCCTCATCTGCACAGCCAGGGACTCGAGTTACCTGATCGAGAAAGTCCTTTCCAGTCCCAACACACCCTGATCAAGAAGAAAGGGAAGAGGGAGGAGAGGAAGGGCAGAGAAGAGAGGAGAAGGGGAGAGAAGAGGAAGAAGGGGAAGAATGTGCTATGCAGAGACCCAGAGGCCACTTGTCGCCTGCCTTCCCTCAGCTGGCAGTGAAGCTTGTGGGAAGATATGGTGACACCGGGGAGAGACACTTTCCTTTGGGCACTGGGCTGGACCGAGGGGCCCTGAACTCACTCTCGTTGCAGAAAGGGGAGAAAATCAACGTAGCTGTGAAGACCTGCAAGAAAGACTGCACCCAGGACAACAAGGAGAAGTTCATGAGTGAGGCAGGTAGGTGTCCGCTGAGCAGGGACACAGCCCCCATGAGGTGACACAGACCTCCAGAGGAGAGAAGGGCCTGGAATTCAGGAAGGGGGTGATGTGAGCAGTGCTGGGACCCACAGGAGAGGAGGGGTATCCCTCCCCATTTCTCCCAGTTGGGACAGCAAAGCATGTTTCTCACATTGGACCTTAGAGCCCCACTGGCCCATCCCTCTCGCCCCCAATTTCAGTGATCATGAAGAATCTGGACCACCCGCATATTGTGAAGCTGATAGGCATCATCGAAGAGGAGCCCACCTGGATCATAATGGAACTGTATTCCTATGGGGAGGTGAGCTGGCAGTAGAGGAACACTGTGATAACAGCTGTGCCACAGCTGAGCAGGGTGGCATGCATTACGAGGGGCCCTTAACACCCAGCTTCCTGCCTTCTATATTCAGCTACACAACCCAGAGACCATTAGTAGAGGAAATCGCTGGAACCTCTTGCCAGCCTGGGTTTGCCCCCTGCCTCCTCACCTGCGGCCTGGCTCCCTGGCCCACACTGAGGGCATGCCCAGGTCTTGATGTCACCTTCCCTCTTCCGGCAGCTGGGCCACTACCTGGAGCGGAACAAGAACTCCCTGAAGGTGCTCACTCTCGTCCTGTACGCGCTGCAGATTTGTAAGGCCATGGCCTACCTGGAGAGCATCAACTGTGTCCACAGGTGCAGCTGGGTGGAAGCCAGGCCCCTTGATCTGATCCTGGAGTTTGGGGTAAAGCGGGGCCTTGGTGTCACACAGGCCAGAGTCAAAACCCCAGCTTTGGTCCTGTCTAATATGACAACTTGAGCACTTCTATGAACCTGTTTATTCATCTGATAAGTGGAAATAGGGATATGTACTCACAGGATTGTTATTAGGGGTGATTCTAAAGTCCTAGGTATCTGATTGTAACTCGGTGCATTCTAACGAGCTTCCCTGTGGGTTCAAGGAAACCGCTTCCTGCTTGCTCCCCTCCCTCTGGCCCATTTGGAAGCACGGGGCGCAGGCAAGAGGGACTGAGCTAGGGCAGCGCTGAGAAGATCCTAGGGTCTGGGCCCTTTCAGCCAGAGTGGCTGGCACTGCCCAGCACCCCCTAGGCTACCAAGTCCAGTCTTCCCTCTGTGAAGCTAGCCCCTCCTCCTCCTGGCTTTGTTCCCGCTCCCTGAAAGGAAACAGAGGGACACTCTCAGAGCACTAAGCTATATGGGTGAATTCTTCAATCCAACACCACTGATGTCAGCTGTGTGGGCTTGTGAGGGATATTATACAAAGCAGTGCTGGGCATATAAGCGTTCATTCATTCACTCATCCAACAAACATTATGGAACTCTCACCCTGTGCCTCCAGGTGCTCTCCTAGGCCCTGGGATAGGTCATTATCAAAAGAGACAAAAATCCCTTTCTTACGGAGCTTATCGTCCAGCGTGATGGTAAAATGAGGCAGAAACAGTCATGGGGTGAAGATGGTGGGATAACAGACTTGTTTCCTTTGTTTGTGTGACATCTTTTCATTAATAAAGACAAATGACAGGGAGGGAGCCTGCAGAAGCAGGCAGAACAGTTCGGGGTTAGAAGTGATGCAGAGAAGGTGAGAGCCCAGCTCGGGAGTTAGGTTGACGCCTTTCCCACCAGTAACCTTCTGGGCAAGTTCCTCCAGCTCTCCGCGCCAGGTGGTTGCGAGGCTGTCTGTATTGTGACTCTGGTGTATAAAACCCTGGGTTGGGCCTGGCTATCCTGTGCTGCATCGAAGTTAGCTATGAGCTGCGGCTCCTCTGAGCCTAACAGAAGCCTCACAGTACTATGCGATTGCAGAATGAGGTGAGAATAATTGTGACCAGGAAAGTTGTCACAGTTCTTTCTTTGATGATAAGCAGAGTGACAGCGTCCATGGCAGAGGGGACAATATAGTCAACAGGACAGAAGAGTATAGGGAGCAAGTCCTGGGAACCCGAAGCAGGCTTCATGTTGGAGACACATTGGAAAGGGTGATGGGAGCTAAAGCTCAATGGTGCGATGAAAGGATGTGACAGGGGGCCTGGTGTGTGGCAGGGACTGGAGGGCCACCCAGGCTCCCACCTGAGCTGGGCTTCAACAAGGTGACTCAGTGGGTCAGGGAAGTGCTGACGGATAGGAGCTGCCTGACTCGGCTCCGGAGGCCAGGTCCCTGGGCAGCACTCTCTTTTGTCTCTCTATTCATCTGTCTGTCTGTCTCTCTGAAGCATCCTGAACCGCCTTACCCTTGTCTTCATACCCCTCTTCCAGGGACATTGCTGTCCGAAACATCCTGGTGGCCTCCACCGAGTGTGTGAAGCTGGGGGACTTCGGCCTCTCCCGCTACATTGAGGATGAAGACTACTACAAAGGTGACGGGCGCCCCTGCCTCTGCTTTGCCCCCGAGGGGTCGCTGGAGCCAAAGTCAGAAAAAAGGCTATGGTCAAGGATCTATAGGTCCTTGGGTCTCCAGAGGATAGGTTATATTTTTAGATAATTCTGGGTCTTTCTTCCCTAACTATCTCTTGAAACCTCTATGTCCACCCAAAGCCTCTGTGACTCGTCTACCCATCAAGTGGATGTCACCTGAGTCTATTAACTTCCGCCGCTTCACCACGGCCAGTGACGTCTGGATGTTTGGTGAGCTGAATTTCGGGAGGGTGTGGGAAAGGGTTTCTAGTCTCACCTTCATGACCAGGCGAAGAGGAGAGCAGGGGTCTGGCCCCCCACTGCTGGGCTGCAGGGTTCTGTTTGGCTGTGGCCGCTGTTAAGTGTGAGAAGTGAGAGGCTGGTGGTGGGTCAGGGTGATAGGGGCTGAGGGCCGGCCTGGGCAGTGTTGGTTAGTCTTCCTGGGAAGGCTCTTGAGAGGAGTGTGTACTCCACCGGCCAGCCCCAGGGACGAGTGTGGGGCACCACGGAGGGGGTCCTCAAAGGCAAACTCTTGAGGTTTGTTCAAAGAAGGAGGTGCAGGGAGGAGAGAACGAAACCCGGTGGTAGACAGCCCCCTGAAGAGCACATGGCCTCATAGATTACCCCTCTCAGTTCTCCACAGCCAGCCAGGGAGATCTCATTGTTATTATTTCCAGTTTCCAGATAAGGAAGTTGAGGCTCAGGTGGGTCAGGGGTTTCCCCTTGATCCCACAGGCAGCAAGTATTGGCTTCAAATCCCATGATGGGGGCTTCACCCCTTCCTAAGAGAAGGCACCAGTGGTCCCAATGACGTGCCTTTGACTGCCCCACCCCCACCCTCACAAAACCCCAATAGCTGCATGTGGAGGGGACATAGAGAAGGGGACCTTAGTTCACTTACAGATGCAGGTGACTGGTCCCTCGGCGACCACCATGGTGAATAAAATTCTAGGGACCTTCAAGGTGGAGGAGAGGGAACACGGGAGCCCTTCCTGGCAGGGACCGAGAGCAGATTGCTCTGGTTGTTCCTGGAGGGGGTGGACTCCTCTCCGGCGGTGAGTCTCCCCTCAGCCCCAGCACAGGTCCGAAACCCTCTCCTCCTGCTCACAGCTGTGTGCATGTGGGAGATCCTGAGCTTTGGCAAGCAGCCCTTCTTCTGGCTGGAAAACAAGGATGTCATCGGGGTGCTCGAGAAGGGCGACCGGCTGCCCAAGCCTGACCTCTGCCCGCCTGTTCTCTACACCCTTATGACCCGATGCTGGGACTATGACCCCAGTGAGCGGCCCCGCTTCACCGAGCTTGCGTGCAGCCTCAGGTGAGCATGGAGCAGGGTGGGGGGGCTGTGGGCATGGGGTCCTGAGGGAGCCAGGCTTCTCTGCAGCACTTAGAGGTTTACAATGTACTTTCCTAAACACAAGGCATGGCATCCTTGTTCCCACCCTGTGGATGAGAGAATCAGTTTCAGAGCTGGCGACTCACCTGAGGCAGTGACAAGTGGGGCTGGGATTTGCACCGGGGCCTCCCCTCTGACCTACACAGAGCCACGTGTCCAAGTGGAATTAGCCATCCTCCCAGCAAAAGCATGGAACCTTTGTTCCTCCCAGATTGCAGGGAAGAGAGTCAGTTTTGACTGTTTAGACAGTGGCCCAGGGGTCACCTGTCCCTTCTGAATGGAGCATCGGTGGCCCGAGGGTCTGATCCTTCTCAGGTGCCCAAGAGCCATCACGCCCAGGTACTGGAAGGTCCCTCGTGAAGGGTGCTATTGGAGTACATTTTAGAGGGTCTCCTTCCTTGGTGGCCCACCTGACATCCTCCTCCTTGGGTGATCTGAGTTCTTTTGGCATCTTTTAAGCAGATTTTTCCTGTAAAGGGCCAGATAGTAAATATTTTGGGCTTCATAGGCCATGCAGTCTCTGCTGAAACTATTTAGCTCTGCCCTTGCAGCTTAAAGCAGCTGTGGGCAATATGTGGTGTAGCTGGGTTTCAATAAGACTTTATTTGTGGACACTGAAACGCTAATTTCATATAATTTTCAGGTATCATGAAATATTTTTTATTTTTATTTTTTCCAATCATTAAAACACTTAAAAACCATTCTTAGTTTGGGGCCATACAAAAATAGGTGGTGGCCAGACTTGGCCTGTGGGTGGTGTTTGCTGACTCCCCTTTAGGCAATCTAGTGCTTAGATAATGTTAAATGGTGCAACTTCAAACCCCATAGTCAACATGTTGGCATATTTTCAGGGCAAGAAATAGACCCTGGAAACCACCTGTGGGAGGCTCCCTGGGTGGGATGCTGGGAAGGCCCAGGCTGGGGCACTAGGAATGACACTGCTTGTAGGGGCAGGGGCAGCAATGCATGTGCAAGACTTCCAACTTAAAAGGCCTTTCTGTTCCTATCTCTTCATTGACACTCCCGATAAATTCTAAACTCATCTGTTGGTCCCTTATAAGAGAGATTTGGGAAACCAAAGGATTCCAGGAGAAAAGTATTTGAAAGATGTAACTTGAGAGAGCAAAAGCTCTGGGGTGATGGGGGGATCTTAATTCATTCTGGGGCCTGAGAACCAAGGTGCCTGTCCCTGGGCTGAGAAACACACCCATCAGAGGCCCTGGGCCAGCCCTCCCACTGTGGATGGAGTGAGGAGCTGACCTTTTCTGGTGTGGTCTGAAGGATACCCAAAGACCCCAATGACCCCAGGATACCTGCCCCAAGCCACAGCCTGGCAGTCCTCCATTAGAGTTAAGAAAGGATTTAATGAGTGTTTCCCAATCTTTTGGGGATAAGAAGGGCCCTTTTAATATCAAAGTTTGAGAATCCCTCCATGTAATGTTAGTTACATGTTTAGAATCTGTCGATTAACAAACTGCAGTGAGCTATATGCTGAATTTTTTATTACACACCATGTAATGCATGTAAGTCTGAAAACACAGTATCAACTATTATATATTCAGTAGTACTGTTAAAAATGATTAAAGAAGACAGTTTAGGTGATACAAAGTTTATTTAACACTCCATGGACCAGGCAGTCTCCATTCCCAAGGGTCAGGGACCTGCAAATGGGGCAGGAAACAGGAAGCTTTAGTGGGATAGAGTAAGGAGCAAGGAAGAGAGAAGCAGAAAACGAGCAGGAACAGGAGCAAGTGTAGAGCCAGAGTTCTCACTGTTTGGAGATGGGCTGACTAGATATGGGCTGATGAGTCAGCTGCATTTCTGGTCAAGCAGAGCCTTTAGAGGGACACAAAAGCTAAGCTTTGTTTTGCTGGTGTGGCGCTTCAGAGCGTCTCCACCTTGGGCCTAGAAATTTATTTCAACCATACATAATGCCTGGTCCACAGACAATGAATGGTACACATGTGAGCAACTATTCCAGAATCCTCTGGGGTCCGTACTTCCCAGGTTGGAAACCACTGGACGGTGTGAGAAAGGCGAGAAGCATGCATATAGCCAACGTGGGAGTGATCCACAGCCCTTTCCCATTAGCACACACCAGGATTGGCTGATGGAAAGTTTAATGAAAAATGGGAGATGGAGCACCCAGGCTTTGGTCCTGACATTGGCTGGGACATCAGAAATCTGCATTGGAGATCAGTGCCAGTAGCAGGCACAGGAGGGCAAGAGGCATGGGGAGGTGGGCTGGAGACATGCTTCCACTGCCTACTTAGGCTGGGACAGTCTCTCCAGGGACTTTTCCCACTGTGGATCTGTTCCTGTATTCCTTTCAACCTCGGTGTGGTAGTGACTTCAGGGTCCATATCCCAGCTTGTCTTAGAGGGGTCTCCAAGCCCACTCTGCAGAGGAGATGGAAATGGGACCTGATGGTCATCTTCCAGACCCCTCCAGCTTCAGTGGGGTGCAGAGAGGAGCCCCTGGGAACATTTTTGACCTTGTTTCTCTCCTATCTGATCTGATCCCTTGGCAGTGACATTTATCAGATGGAGAAGGACATCGCTATAGAGCAGGAGAGGAATGCTCGCTACCGACCTCCCAAAATCTTGGAACCCGTAGCCTTCCAGGATCCCCCACCCAAGGTAAGCCAAACCCTGGCTGCATCAGTTCCCTAAATCACAGCAGAGCAGGCTCCCCATCTGGCCCACTCCTGGCCTGACTATATAACTCCTTCCTCACAGCACAGAGAGGATGTACCCCTACAATTCTCAGCTCCTCAACCCAGTTGTCCATCAGCACTGAACTCAGCCCCTGCCCCATCGGTGCTCTGGCAGCTGGAATCTGAGACAGCAAGATAGCACATGCCTGTTGGGGCAGCGGGGCAGGGAGTCACCCTGCGAACACTTCCCTCGAGAGGCTCAAGCACTTTTCTTTCTGGTGTTTTTTAGGAATAAATTAGATCCCCATGAGGGCACATGAATGAGGAGCGTCTCTGGGCCCCTTAGGTTCAGCCTTTGTTACCATACCCCCAAGATATCTCTGGGCTCAGGAACCAGTGCCCCACCACCATGCCATTAGGTGGGTGGGTTGCAAGGACAGTGCCTGTATTAGTTAGCTCGGGCTGCCATAACAAAATGCCATACACCAGGTGGCTTAAACAGCAGGCATTTGTGGAGGCTAGAAAGTCCAAGATCAAGGTGCTGGCAGATCCAGTGTCTGGTGTAGACTCTTCCTGTCTTGCAGACAGCCACCTTTTAGCTGTGTCCTCACAGGGCAGAGAAAGCGAGAGCTCTGGTGTCTCTTCTTACTAGCATAAGGACACTAGTCCCACCATAGAGGCCCTCCCATCATGACCTCATCTAACCCTTACTTCTCAAAGGCCCTGCCTTCAAAAACCATTACACTGGGGGTAGGGCTTCAACATATGCATTTGGTGGGGACACAAACTTTCAGTCCATAACAAGGCCCTATGTGGTCCAGGGCCTTTCCTCGGTGTTCACCTTGCCTGGTGTGCCTTTCCCCTTCCCTGAGTCAGTCCAGCTCAGTTTTCATCTCCTATGAAGCTGCTGTAAGTGCCTGAGCCCTCCCTGACCTCCTACCTCTGAAGTCTATGGCTCTCAACTGCTGTTTGGGAAGTGCTCTGACATCCAGAGAAGTTACACACAGAGAGACTAGTAACCCCTCCAGTTAGTGATGGCCCCCAGGAGGACAGAGAGCCTGGACTCTTTGTACCTTCCCATCACTCAGCATGCAATGGGTGCTGAATAAGTGAAGGCAATGATAACTTTGCCCATCTTTTTCATTCAGGACAAGCCTGACCTGTCTCTGACCTGATACTCCCCTTAGTGAGCTGTGTTTACTCAGGGAGAGATGGGGACCTGACTTGTCTCTGTGCTTTCTCTCCAGCCCAGCAGACCCAAGTACAGACCCCCTCCACAAACCAATCTTCTGGCACCCAAGCTGCAATTCCAGGTAAACATGACCAGAGGGCTGGGAAAGCTCAGGGCCATTTCTCATCTTGGTTCTTCCTGAAATTCCATTCTTATGCCTTTGAGGAGCAGCAACCAACTGTTCAGGTAATGAAGGTGGCCTACTTCGGTACCCAGAAAAGAATTTGAACTCAGAGTACCCAGAGGTCAAAAGAACCCTTAGCTAAGATGTGCCTTAAGCCCAGCCCATCTGTGCAGTGTTTGCTGCTGCTGCGTGTGCCTGCCTACAGCTACCTCTTCGTGCCCAAAGCCTCCCTGGCTTCCTACCCTGAGCAGAGCCTTCTGAGAAGGAGTCTCAGGCAGTTGTGGACAATTGATGTCCCCCAGAAAATAGAGTTGTTCCCTGGGGCTCCCCGCAGAGGCCCTGGCCAGAACATAGGTGTCCATTGAAGAGAGAGAAGGGTTCTATCTGAGCTTGCTTCCCACTTTTGTCATTACCAGCCATGAAATCTTCCCAAGCTGTAGGTCCCTGTCTCAGAGTGTCTGTCCTATGCCTCTCTCTTGCATCTTGGTCATAGGAGCCTGGGCTCCTCTTCTCTTACATCCCTCAGCTCAAGGTCACTGCCCAGGACCAAAACAAGCCCAACCAAGAACAAACATACATCCTCTTCATTAGAAGAAAAATCTTGATGCAGAAGGTAGAAGCAATGTTGCTAAAAAGAAACATACCTTTTGTGATGTTTAAAATAGTGATTAAATACACACACACATCTGTGTGCTAATTATACCTGTCAGTTTGTAACATGACTATGAAATATAACTCTTTTCTGAAGAGTCCTGAAGGAGGAGACATATACTCAGTAGGTCAGTAACATGTGTGGACCCATTGTTTGCAGATCATCATGGGAGGGCTGTTAGATGAATGGGAGGCTGCAGTGCCCATGCTGACTCCTAGCTAAGAGCTGTGTATGTTGCTCTGCCATGTCTTCCAAACAGGGCCAACGAAATGCCCATATTACATTTTTTATTAGCTCTTGGAGAACAAGTCCTGTTTCTCCCATGGTGCCCATATATCGTTTCTTTGTGCTTAGTTTGTAGCAGCTAATTGTCTACTTTCTTGCTTTGTCCCTATGCCTGGTGCTTCTTTGCTTCTGAATAGGTCCCTGAGGGTCTGTGTGCCAGCTCACCTACGCTCACCAGCCCTATGGAGTATCCATCTCCTGTAAACTCGCTGCACACCCCACCTCTCCACCGGCACAATGTCTTCAAGCGCCACAGCATGCGGGTAAGAGGGCTCTGCATGCTGGGTCCTGGCCCAGATGAGGAGGCTGATGGAGGGGAGGCACCTGGGACACCAAGAACCCCACAGCCTCGGGCTTAGGAGCTGCCCTCCATGGTTCCATGCACCAGTTAGGCCACTGAGGGGCTCTGTGACTCTCCTTTGCAAACACATCAGAGGCTGGGGGCCAAGCCAGTCTCTGCTCCTGAGGACAACAGCTGGACCTGCACCTGTCCCATCCATACTCTGGTGCTGTGGCAAATGATGCAATATCTCCCCCTTTCCTGAGTCCTGGGTGTAGTGAGGTGTCTTGTGGGTAGAGGACAACCAAGCCTGTTGGAGCAAAAGAGTAAAAGATGCTGGAGGTTCTGTTCGCTCTGCCCTTCCTGCCTGAATGCGTTGGTTGCTCAGTCTCTCTTCAGTCAAAGGAAAGGCTTCTTTGTGGCTTCTATTCTGGCTGCTTTTATAAAACTTGCTGCTGTTTGGGAAGGAGCTTGGCTAGTGTGGGGCTAAGATACCCTCTACAGTCACCTTGTTGTTGTAACTGCCAAGATGAAGCCCTGAGTACTTCATGGATTAGCATCAGATTGTCAAGGCTTGTAAATAAATAAATAAAAGCACCTTTGCTTGCCCACTTGTCACTTGTCACCACCCATTTCTCCTTCATTACGAATAGCCCCTGTGGTTGCCATGAACATTTAATATATTTTACTAAACTGAGTCTTGCTATGTGACAAAACAGACTAAAACCCTTATTATTTTAGCTCTAACTCTGTATATATGCAAGATATTTCATGTTTAGTATACATGACTCTAAAATTTTTTAGAAAAACTACGTGATTGTTCCAATAGATTCAGAAAATGTAGGAAAGTACATGTGTTGGTATATTGTGTGCCATAATTCTTAATTTAGTAAAATTTCGAAATGAGTAATATAACTCAGAATTCTAGGCATCAAGATCTATTGTGGAATAAATTATTCCATTTATAATTTAAACACTTTATATCTTAGCATGTACTTAACAATAATAAAGCTGCATTCTGAAGCATGCACTATGATTTAGGCAGTGCTCAGTGCCTCAACCCTGGTGCCCTTGACTCTTTATTGGTAATTAATTGAGTTTTAGTGAGTTTTGCTTTGCAATGTGACCTTTTAGACAGGAGCTATTTTGCATGTGTGAGGGGCGGCATTGCCTTTGTCTAATCTCTGCTTCACCCTAAGGACTTTGTTCAATTCCATAAAGACAGACTGGGCAGCAGGAAAAAAAGACCTTTTGTTTGGCTTAGAAGCACTTTCCATAAGGAAAATGTGCTTAAAAGGGCATAATGAACAGTTCTCAAAATAAACCAGAAAAAGGTTAAAAATATAAACTCCATTTTATGGGTTAGATCAGAAACCTGGATAAAGCCTCTTCCAGGTAGAATGCTGAAAAGGTATACTAGGCTCCCTACAAAGCATTTGAGAGCACTTAACAAAATCCAGAGATGATTTTCCCATAAAAAAACAAATTTTCTAGTGACTGGCTCTATTGCCTGACTCATCTGGGAATCTGTGGGATGACACACCAGAGTCAGAATGGCAGCAACCTCACAACTGAAATTTAAAATAATACAATAAATAGTACCCTTTGCGAGAGTGCTTCCCTGGGAGCTGTCCCAGGTGCTGACTGGGGATTGGGCACTGCTGCCTTCAGTGCGCTTACAGTTGGCCTGAAGAAACAAGCCAGGCACACACCTACCTGTAATGCCAGCCAGAAAGTTGTGAGTTACACAGAGATACAGCAAAACTGCAGTGAGAGTCCAGAGAGGAGAACAACTCTTTAAAGCTTCTTTTTGTCAGCTGGGACTGGAAGGATGGGTAAGATTTGGACAGGAAGAAACTGGGATGAGGGGGATCAAAGCAGCAGAGACATTGGTAGGAGCCAAGATTGAGTGATCGGCAAGCGCAGGAACTGTTTGGCTAGAATGAGGAAAGATGCATGTAGGGGTGGAAATAAGGCTGGGGGGAGGGGGCAAGTAGCCAAATTCTGGAGTGGTCACAGCTTGTGGAGTCATTTTAAAACACCACAAGGACCTGATACTTTTTAAGAGTGACCAACCATGGAAGTTGTATTGCCTGATAAGAATATCTGAGGTAGCCCTAGCCACTTTGGCTCAGTGGAGAGAGTGTTGGCCTGTGGACGGAAGGGTTCTGGGTTCAATTCCGGCTAAGGGCACGTACCTCGGTTGCTAGCTGGATCGTTGCTAGCTGGATCCCACGGGCATGTGAGAGAGGCAACCAATCCATGTGTCTCTTTCTCCCACCCTTCTACTCTCTCTAAAAAGCAATAGAAAAAATATCCTCCGGTGAGGATTTAAAAAATATATATATATATTTGGGGTACATTTCAGACAAGTAAACCCTAAAGAGATTCAATTTTTTAAAATCTCATTTTCTCCTTGAATTTGACTATAAAATTGGAAAACAGAAACAAATCTTAGAATATATCTTAAAATATTTTGTAAGATGCTGATCAGGCCTGGGGCATTCTAGACATTTGAGTGTAGGAACCTTCTTTTAGCACTTACAAATTACATAGTGTTTACTTGACTCTGGTAACTCCTCCTACCAGCACTAACTCTAGTCTTCCTCAGTCCACACATTTTTCTTATACCTGGAGATTCCTAATTATATTCAAAATGTCCAACACTTGGCTCTTGTTTGTCACTATTTGTCAGTAGCCTGGGTAGCCATACATTGTGTTTGCAGGGGTTGACATTTAACTGGGGATATTTATGACCTTAAAATTCCGCTTTTGGAGCACTGTTCAAATAAATAAATAAATCTTATGTGAACTAAATCTTATTTTTGTTAATTCTATGATTATAAAATACTCTTATGTTCTGAAATTTGTTTTCTTAAAATAAGGTCTAACTCAGTAGCTCTTAACTGAAGCTGATTTTTCCACATTTGGGTGACTCCTGTAGGTATTTTTGCTACAACTGGGGAGGTGCTGCAGGGCGGAGTTGCAGCTAAGCATCCTACAATGAACAGGAAGTCTTACCCCAGTAGAGAACTACCTGGCCCCAAATGTCAATAATGCTGAGGTTGGGAAACCTGGTCTAGCTATTGTTTACAAAGCCCAGGAGAACAGGGGCATTGCATATTATACCATCACTGCCCTCCCAGCACCCATCCCCAGCCTGCCACATAGCAGTTTTTTTAATAAATAGTTGTTGAATAGAATAATGACCAAAGAATATTTCACCAAGACATCTAAGTTGTGGGAAGAAGTATTGTTAGAACTTGAGAGCAGCAGTTGGGACTGAATGGGCACTAGGAAAAACGTTTCACTATAACTGTCTTGTTATATTCAAGTGTGTTTTAGAAAGTTAAGTAAGGAAAATATTTTTAGAGATTTGGCAGAGATTATGGCTTGCTAAAGTAGACAGAGAAGGATTTTTGGCATTTTATGCAAGGGACTTGTAAGTAAACCTGCCACTTCAAAGGAAAGGAACCCAGGGGCCTGCTGGCCTGGATGTCGTACAGAGGTCCTGCCCTGGCAAAGGCCATCCTGGGGTTGATGCAATCCCAAAAATGCCAGTAACACTCATGAGTCCAGGAGTCCAGGCGCAAGGTGTACAGCAGGAAAAAAGCAAAGTAGTTTGAAGAGACTGAGCAGATAATTATATAAATGAACCCTGGGGAAGACTGAGAGTAAAGCAAGTAATAAGAAAACACGCAACACCTTTATTTATTTATTTCTTTAATATACATTGATTTCAGGGAGAGGGAGAGAGAGAGATAGAAACATCAGTGATGAGAGAGTCATTGATCGGCTGCCTCCTGCACGCCCCCACTGGGGATCGAGCCCGCAACCCGGGCAGTGCCCTGACTGGGAACTGAACCTCGATTTCCTGGATCATAGGTTGATGCTCAACTGCTGAGCCACACAGGCCCGGCAACACCTTCTTTTAGGGAAATAACAGATAAAACTGTGAATAGGTCTAAAATCCCCCAAATGAGTTAAAGCAAGGGTTGGATTAATAAAGCTAGGAGAGGAAGCATGTATTGCATATCTAGACATCTGTGTTTCTTTAAATTTGGTTCTTCACTTTATCTCGTAGCTCATACATTTCTTTAACCTTTGGTTAAACAACTCAAACTACTATCTTGATCAAGAGTATGTTTTAACAAAAAGACTTGATTGATAGGTGCATGCCGTTGCGCCTTCTCTCAGGCCCTGCCCCACTGTGGGGCTACAGGCAGCCCACTGCTCCTCGAAGCTTCCAGACCTGCCTCAGTGAGGCTTACGTGGAGAGAAGTGCCCAGCGCTTTCCAGAGGACGGGCTTTGCACTTCTAAATTTATTAAGTGACAGCAACCATGACAATTACCAGCTAAGAAAATAACATGAGGGCAGTAACTTGAAAATAAAATTGTCTTAACAGGTCATGTAATTATTTGAATAAAATGCGTGTTCCGGGTTTGGCATTCCACTGCAACACAGGCATGTGCTTGGGGCAATGGACCCAATAACAACTGTCTGCATACATGGCTGTGGATTTAAGAAAGTTACCCCCCCAAACAAAAGCAGCTGGCGAGGCCAAGTATTGTGGCTGCCCTGTCCCTCCCTTGAGTCTGAGGACTAGGCTCATTGTGTCCTCTCCTCTCTCCCTGCTGTCTTCCCAGGAGGAGGACTTCGTCCAACCCAGCAGCCGAGAGGAGGCCCAGCAGCTATGGGAGGCTGAGAGGCTCAAGATGCGGCAGATCCTGGACAAGCAGCAGAGGCAGATGGTGGAAGATTACCAGTGGCTGAGGCAGGAGGAGAAATCCTTGGTGAGCAGCCGCTGAGCTGTGGGTGGGAAGGGACAGCATTCTCAGCAGCGCTGCTGAGGACAGTTTGATAAAAGTGCTTGCATGGAGAGATGTCCATGCCATTGTGTCCTTTTGTGTCCGATTCTGCCTCCCTAGCTGACCCAAGTGAATGCTTCCCATGCATTTTTGGGGTTTGTAGTTCTGGAATTCTAAGTCCTTATTTTGGTTTCCTCCTCTGCAGGACCCCATGGTTCATATGAATGACAAGTCCCCGTTGGTAAGTCACCAGGAGAGGTCTCTGCTTTAGAGTGAAGGCCTGGGAAGTCCTCATAGACAGCAGGACCCCAGCTCCAGGCCCTGGGCCTGCACATCTCTTCCTTTCTGCCTCTAACCTTGGGAGTGGGTCCCCTCTCTCTCCTCTGACCTCCACGATGCCCCTTTCCTGAGCTCTCACTTGATTTACACCCACAGTTCCCTCAGCCTCTTAGGAAGGAGGGACGCCCCTCTAGGTCACTTTTGGTCAGGAGCTCCCCAGAGCCTCCCCCAGCCCCCACATGGCTATGATCTCTGAACCTCTAAATGCACTGTTGAGGGGGTGGGAACAGATGAAGGCAGGGAGTGGGTTGCCCCCAGAGCCACATTAGTGATGTGTTCTTTCCTTCCTTCCAGACCCCAGAGAAGGAGGCTGGCTACAGTAAGTATTTGCGCCCATCCTCTTGGTGGGCGTTTCCACTTGACATCTTGTGTTGAGCCACCGTCCTTGCTCACTGCCCACTGTAGAGAGCACTGGAGTGCAGTTGCGGTTTTAAGAAGTGTCTGCCTGGTTTTTACCCAGCGTGTCAGAGAGGTTCAGTCTTGGAGTTGATGGCTACCCTTCCACTCCAGCTGTTGCCCCATGCTCTCCCTGCCCGTGCCTTCTCTCAGCTCTGTCTCTGTCCCGGGTCCTTGGTCCTCTCTCTGGTTTATCTCCTTGCGTTTGTTCGGAGGAGGTGATGATCTTCTCTTTCTTCCTACCCCTCCATCATTCTGTTGGGGGCTCCTCATGAAGGAAAATCAAGTGGTTCCACTGGCTTCTCTCCGCCGATGCTCATCGTCCTGGGTCTGAGGGATGAAAGGGAGAAAAAGGGTGGCCAAGCCCTCAGGGTCTCTCCAAAGGCCCCTGCTGAGGGTGGGATGGAGGAGCTTACAGTTCACCAGGCTCATCTTTATCATCCTATATGGGTGGGACCTTTATGGTGAAGGTGACAGTGACAGTTAAGACGTTGGCATCAGTCACCGAGAATTAAACACAAGCCAAACACAGAACTAAGTCGCTTACAGATGTCAACATGTTTAATCTTACAGCAACTCTGAGATAAGACAATTTATTATTATGCCTTACAAAGGTCATGAAGGCACAAGGAGGTTAAGGAACTTATCCAAAGCCACACGGCTGCTAATTAACACAGCTTAGATTTGAGTCCAGGCTCCAGGGACCTTTCTGAGCAACCCTCTTACTTGACAGATGAAAATTAGGGCCCAGGGAGTGTAAGTGAGCTGACCCATGTCACACAGCCCTTTGGTGGCAGAGGTGAGAGTAGAACCAGGTCTTGTGACTTCCTCTCCGGGGCTGACTCTTCCAGCAGCTCCACAGGGCTGTGTGTCTCTTTGCTTCTCAAAGTGGGGCATGAATAGTGTGGTTCTTCTGCGGTTTCACTTCCTTGACTCCCCAAATGCTCAAAGCAGACTATCGGGCACTTCTCACAGATCTACCCCACCAGCTACTGTGGCACCATGCTGGGGGTTCCGCAGCTGCCTGCTGCCTTCCCAGAGTGAAGCTTGTTCCCAGTGACTGCCAAGGCCAGAGTGTGTGCTGTTCCTCAGGGTGGGACACAGGCTCACAGGGGCTGGGACACCCTCTGCAGTCATTCTATCTCTGCTGTGACTTAGCTTTTTCTTTCTATAAGTGGACAACAGTTCTTGTCCCTGACTACCGGAGGGCCATCTTCTGGAATTAGGGTTTCATTTTTCAGGGTCTCCTGGTAGTAGAGGAGAGGGGAGTGGCTTGGTTATCAGCAGGTACAAAGGGAGGGCCCAGGCTGCTGAGATCCTCCCTCACTCTCCTTCCTTTTCCAGCGGAGTTCACGGGTCCCCCACAGAAGCCACCGCGGCTGTGTGCACAGGTATGTGCTGTCTCTGCCAAAGCTGGTAATGAATTTGAATCAGGGCTCCCCAGGACTGAAGACGGTGGGCTGCGAAGATTTCAGAGGCCCTCAGAAATAATCTAGTCCAATATCCTCAAGATATAGCTGAGGCCCAGAGAGGGAAGTGCCTTGTCTAAGGCCATACAGCTAATCCATGAAAAAACAAGGGGAAGACCAGTCCCTGTCTCCCAGGCCTCCTCCCCGACCTGAAGGAAAGCCCATTGGTCCTGCCCTAGGAACAGGAGGTGGGGCCCGCTTCCTCTCTCAAGTGTGCACCCTTAGCTTTCAGCGCCCACATTGTTCGGCACCCAGATCTCGGGATGGGCGCTGCTTTTCCTCACTCTGAACGGTGGTTCTCAGCCTTGGCTGCCCATTAGAATCACCTGAGGAGCTTTCAAAACTCACCTGGCCTCCATGTCAGGTGATGGTTCAGTTGGCCTGGTGCGTAGCTGGCCACCAGTGTTCTTAAAGGCTCCTGGCAGGTTCTAGTGTGGGAACCACGGCCTGGAAGCAGAAGGGAAGGGTGCACCCAGTACAGGGCACTGTTGTTTTGGAGAAGAGTCTTTTCAAACTGGGCTGGTGGCTGAGTTGGCACCTATAGTGCGTGCCCAGGAAAGAATGAGCATCCCCCTGACTCGAGACTCCCCCACCAGTCTATCCAGCCCACAGCCAACCTGGATCGGACCGACGACATGGTGTACCTCAATGTCATGGAGCTGGTGCGGGCTGTGCTGGAACTCAAGAATGAGCTCTGTCAGCTGCCCCCCGAGGCCTATGTGGTGGTGGTGAAGGTGAGCACCAGGGGCAGAGCCCGGACAGGGGAGGTGGAGGTGCTCATCACAGCCCTGGAAGGAAGTGGGGAGGGGCTGAGCTTCCCAGTCTGCCCAGAAAGGGTCTTTTCCAGGAAGACCCCCATTAGAGCAAGGTGGTCAAAGGGCATTGAGCCTCAGGTAGCCTCGGAAGGCAGGTATCGACCAGGAGTGCTCTTCCCAAGGGACACATGCTTTCTTCAAAAGCAAAAGGTGACAGTTGCCTTGCCCTTTCTCTCCCAGAACGTGGGCCTGACCCTCCGGAAGCTCATCGGGAGTGTGGACAATATCCTGCCTTCCTTGCCATTGTCTTCACGGACGGAGGTGAGTGTCCTTGTCTCAGTGCTGCCGGCTCCCCTTCACTCCACCTGCCCTGGCTGTGTTTCACACAGGAGGCTCACAAGGGCCACCTGGGCAGTCTCATTTCTGCCTGCTGAGCCTCCAGCAGGTGGCCCTGCTTAGCATATCTGAGCAGGTACCACAAGGGAGCTCAGTGGGCACCTGGGGACCTAGCTGTCTTCCTACGGCCAGTTTCCCAGTTTAGGTCTCAGACAGCTACAGCGCTGTCTTAATGTGTGAGGATGTGCCAAGGAGAGTACACCTTGGCTTTAGCCCCATAGGACCCATTGCAGACTTCCCACCTCCAGAACTGTAAGAGGATAAATCTGTGTTGTTTTAAGCCACTACGTTTGCGGTACTTCTCACCGCAGCAATAGGAACCTCATGCAGTGCCTCTGCACATTTGCTGGATGTCCATCTGGAAACCAGATTTAGAATCTTAAAGAAGCCCACAGCCCCTACCAGGCTGTGGTTTGATGTGGCATCTCCTTGTGGTCAGTCACTTGGCACAGGTGACCACTGAATCCCCAACATCTGTGACTGCTCAAGGACAGTGTGGGTGAGGAGGATTCACGGCCTTCCTCTGGGAGGCAGCAGCCCACAGAGGAGCCCAGGCTGAGCTGCCCTGTCCGACAGGAGAGCATCTTACCCTCGGCATGAGGTCTCAGTCACTCATCTCACCTGATAAATACCCTCGAGTGCTGAGCATGCACTCGGAAGTGTGCTAAACGCCAGGGCACATGGCAGTAAACAACTCCCTACAGCTCAAACCACTGTCCCAGAGCTCCTGATCTCATGGTAGATAGCTAACAAATGAATAAATGCCCTTGCCCTCCAACCATCCACTTAAATATTGGGCCAGCACATGAAGATGTTATGATAAAAGGAGGGCCTGTGGGGTTGGATCAGACTGGGATGGCCTGGGAGCCTGGGGGCTGGGATGTCTACAATGTCAGTCCTTGGTGACTTGGCTCCAGCTCATACAGGACCTTGGACTCAACCTTGGCCTGGGTCTGGCTAGTCCCCCAGAGAACTTCTGACTACCTCAGCCAACACTGAGGCGGACACTTGTGTGGCTTAGGCTCCCAGCCTCTCCTGTGCACTCTTCCTGCAGATTGAAGGGACCCAGAAACTGCTCAACAAGGACCTGGCAGAGCTCATCAATAAGATGCGACTGGCCCAGCAAAATGCCGTGACCTCCCTGAGCGAGGAGTGCAAGCGACAGATGCTCACGGCCTCCCATACCCTGGCCGTGGACGCCAAGAACCTGCTCGATGCCGTGGACCAGGCCAAGGTTCTGGCCAATCTGGCTCACCCACCTGCAGAGTGATAGAGGGTGGGCGCCACCTGCCTGCGTCTTCGCCCCCGCCTGTCGCCTCTCGTGTACCTCCCTTGCCCCTGGCCCTGCCCTGCCTTCGGTCATATGGGTCTTCTCAGGGGGAAGGCCGAGGGGAGTCCTTCCCTTGCCACTTTGCACGAGCCCCTCTCCCTACCCGACCCCAAGACTGTGCTGCTCAGGCCACAGCTGGACAGAGGGGACTCAGGGCTGTAGAGTCCAGGGGGTGACAAAGAGGGCTCAGAGGGAACACAGCTGCCACTGCCACGGGCCACTCCCTCCTCACACCTGCCTGGCCTGCTGGGGGTCCCACTGATATCCCTAGTGACCATGATGGCTTTATGCATGGACATAGCGGCCATTTGGGAACCAAGCTATTCCTTCTTCCTCTTCTGCCCATGGAAGTCCCCCGAAGCAGAGGTGCCAAGAGGGGCTTCCTTTTGCAGAGTGGACAGTTGGTGAGACGAGGGATGGACCCAGCTTTCTTGTACAGTGTATATTGGAATTTATTTAATGTGAGTTTTGTCTGGACTGACAGCCATGTGACCCCTGGAGGGGGCACCTGGGACACAGTCCAGCAACAGGCTATTGGGAGACCGGACACAGGATGCTGTGTTGTCAACATGCCAAGTGTCGAGGAGAAGGGGAGTCGAGGCCAAACAGGGCTTGGACCACAGCCCGCTTTCCTCCTCACTCCTGCTTTTCTCTCTCTCTCCATATTTTGCCCCCTCCTTTCTTCCTCCTTTCCTGTACCCCTTTCTCACGGGCTCCCGCCCCCCTCCTTCTCTCTCGTGTTTGTGCAGAACAACCTTTCCGTTCTTTCTATTTGACTTGTGGATGAATTAAAATTGTACATTTGCACTGTGGTTTCTTTGTTTTGTTTGTTTGATCTGCTGTTGCAGGGAAACACTGACCTCAAGCCACAGCCCTGGAAGAAACTGATTGTGCTCAGTTGGGCGTAGATCAAGGGCTGATGTCTGGGCTCAACCCAGGGGTGCCTGGTGATATCCAGGCAGTGGGGTCAGATATGAGCCCCAGCCCCTTTGCCCCTGACCAAAGGGACATTTTCCAGTAGGGACCCAGGGCAGCCTCCTACACAGCCACATGAGGAATGCTAGTGGAATGGCTCTCTCCCAGCTGGCATCCCAACAACCAGGGCTCTAGGGGAGGTTCTGGTGGTCCTGGAGATGCTGGCAAGAGGTCCCACAGCTAAATGAACAGCAGCTTCGATTTTATTTGATCTCTTTACTCACATGCAAGATGGATGGGAGACAGACTAACATAAGGGAACATCACTACACCAGGAGATCCAGGCTGGGAGAGCCAGGAGGGAGGAGACCAGAGGCTGTGTGCATAGAAGCAGGAAGGGGCCAGAAACCAGAATGGGCCACTGAGTGGGGGGTCTTGGGAGACAACGGAGGAGCAGAGGCTGGGGCTGGGGCGTCTCGAGTTTCCACTTGGTCTGTCAGGGAGAGGCAAGTGGGGGCTTTGGAAGGAGAGGACCCCAAAGATCAAAGGGAAACTGGAAGCTCGCCCTACTCAGCTTCTTGCCTGGGGTCTCCACACAGACCCAAGAACCCAGTGCCCACATCTTTTAGCTGCTGGGGCTCCGCCCTGGGGAAGTGGAACTGGATGGGTCACAGGTGAGGCATGATCCCCCAGCTAAACTCCCAAGGTTCGAGAACAGACTGCCCAGGGCGGTTCAGAGTAGGTCAGACACATTGTGGGGCTTTGGGGACAGGGAGGGCAGGCTGGGAAGGGAAGCGGTCCTGGGTCCTGCAGTGTTTGCATTTACACAGCAGTCGTGGGGTCCAAAGCAATCCACTTGCTCCCCTCAGCCACTCAGAACAAATATCCTGAGTGCCCACTACCACTTGCCCTGTGGAGAAAGGGAGGAAGCAAACTGCAAGCTTGAGGTGAATCAAGAGTGGCTCGGGATGGCCTTGTGGTTTGTCCACATGAGTTGAAGGGCAGATGGCTCCCCTGTAGACAGGGATTCTCAAAACTTCTCGGGGTAGCCTGGTGCTGAACCAGCTTTGGGGGTGGGGTGAGGGCTAAAGGTAAGGGCTTGACCAGGGCTTACAAGAGTTTCCGGGTAGGTGGGCTGGCCCAACTACCAGCATCCAACCATGCACCCTCCTCCCTCTGCCCCGGGGTCCGCCCTGCAGTTCCACTCTGCCTGTGGCCTGCCTCCTCCTTCCTCCCTCCCACCCTACTGTTAGAACTGCAGTCTCATTCTCCGAACTTCTCTACCTGGTTCAGAGCCACCCCAACCCACCTTCCCAGCCGCCAGCCACTGCTCCCCACTCAGGAGCCCAGCCTCAGCCTGGCTGTTCATTCCTGTATCCAAAGCGCTGCTCATAGAGCCCTTCTGCCCCCTGTGGCACCCTCGCCCTTCCTTTGAGGTCTGTGTTCTGTTGCTCTTCGCCTGGTCCCACCCTCGCCCTCTGCTCCCCTTTTCAACCCTCCTGTCACTCAGTGTCTGTATAGCTCCTTCAGGAGACTCTCATACGCTTCACATTGTCACCACCGTATCATGACCTTCTGCAGAGCAAGTGCCTTCTTTTCTTGCCCCTCAGCATCCAAAACAGGGCGCTGTGCCCAGTAGCTTCTCAGCGCATAGTACAATCCTGCCAAGTGAAGGGGGTCAGGAAGTCTTTGATGACTGGGCCAGTGTTGGGACGCCATGGAGAGGCACCTGCAGTCACGTGGTGTTGGCCCCAAAGGTGGACTCTAGAGGCAGCAGCAAAGATGGTCAGCAGTGCCACCTTTGAGCCAAAGCCAGGGATAGGAAATCAGATCATTCCAGCCAGGAACGGGGGAAGGAACAGTCCCACGGTCCCCAGGATGCAGACGATGATGAACAGCCAGAGAAATATCCTGTCAATCACCATGGCCACATACTTCCAGTCTTCCTTCACCTGTAGGTGGAGTGGACTCAGTGACAGGGGCTAGGCCTTGGGAAAGGGTTCCTGTAAAAATGGCAGAGGGGGCAAGGGGGCCCCACTGAGACCTTGAGAAGCTAAAGTGGGGGTGGGGGTGTGGAAAACAGGGTTGTTTTAAGACTCAATGCTTTCCTAAGTGATTCCTGCCCTGTCCTACCCTTGGGACAACCCAAAGCCTTCCCTGAGGCTCTCAAGTTCCAGGTAAGAGAGGCTGGAGGGACACAAGAAGGTTCTAGAACCACCCACAGGCCTATAGTGGTTTAAACACACTACCCAGTACTTATAAAATGGTGAAGACTTTGCTGCCCTCAGGTTGCTTCCCAGCCCCCATTCACCCACCCCCTCCAGGAGACGGAGAAGGGGGTGGTGAGGGTAGGTGGGGCCCAAGGAAGGTTGGGGGAGTACTTTGTGGAATTTGGGCTCACAGCCCAGGCAAGTGGGTCTGAACTCCTAGCTGCTCCCAGACTAGATAACGACTAATGTTTCTTATCTACTCAACAAGGCCACCCAATGACCTTTGGGCCTTTCACCCTTCCCTAGGCTGTTAAGAAGAATTCTGTGATCCTGGGCAGTGGCTGGCTCACCTAGTAATGTGGGACATAGCAGGGGCCAGGAAGCGGAGCCCGCCTGGCACAGCCAAGCTTCCTAAGGGTTTGTGAGTGAGCAGTGAAGCTCACAAAATGCCCAGGGCCCACAAAAAAGAGGAGGGGGAGACCGTCAGGGCAAAGGGGGAAGGCTGGCATGCGCAGCCTGACATATGGTCTCTCCTGATGATCCTCCCTCCTCCTCCCCTGCCCCTCCCCCCCCCCACCAGTGGGGTAATGGTGAGAAACGGTGTGAGGATGGCGAGAATAGCATGAGAAGCTCCCAGCTGCAATCCCTCCCTCAGTTTTGCTGCCTCCCGGTTAGGCTTAGCTGGGGCATTCTTGACTGCTGGCCTGCCACCGCCAATTCGTGTTTTAAGAGTTGCCAGCTAGCCCGGCCAGGCGTGGCTCAGCAGTTGAGCATGGACCTAGGATCCAGGCGATCGGGGTTCGATTCCTGGTCAGGGCACATGCCCGGGTTGCGGGCTTGATCCCCAGTTGGGGGCGTGCAGGAGGCAGCCAATCGATGACTCTCTCATCATTGATGTTTCTATCTCTCTCTCTTCCTCTCCTTTCCTCTCTCTGAAATCAATAAAGATATATTTAAAAAAACACACGAGTTGCCAGCTAGACATTCTCCATCACTATTATTCCAAACTCCCAAAGGAGAGGGGTCCTCTCATGAAGGAGATGGGGTTGGCCCAACCCAACCCCCTGGGGTAAGGTGATTCCCTACGAGGCTGATAGTGACCCAGGGGAGGGGCCCAGCCCCAACTCACTGAAGAGTCAGCATCCTCAGACCGCAGGTGATCAGCAATATAGTGCACGCCTTCCAGCGCCTTCTGCATGCGAAGTGACAGCAGGCGCCCACCCTTCTGCAATGGGGCCTCCACCTTGGGACCTGAGGCCCTTTGGTGCAGATCGCCGTGGCTGTAGAGGACACCCACGGAGGGGGACGACACCCACTGGTCTTCCTCTTCCTCCTCTTCCTCTTCCCTCTCCTGTGCATCCATGTTGGTCTCCAGCCAGTGGTAGGAGGGCCCAAGCTTCAGATCTGGGGAGCCACAGAGCTCCAAGGGTGGCAGAGGCCGTTTCATCAGAAGCCACCGGGGCACACAGCCCAGAAAGGCCACTCGCACCCAGTGGGGCATGTTGTGGGTGCTGGGGGAGCGGTGATGGACATTGAGGACAAAGACGGTGATGACGATGGACAGGGTGACGAAGATCATGGTGAAGAGCAGGTACTCGCCAATGAGCGGGATGACCAGGGAGGTGGAGGGGATGATCTCGGTGATGAGCAGGAGGAAGACAGTGAGCGAGAGCAGCACAGAAATGCACAGTGTGATCTTTTCGCCGCAGTCGGAGGGCAGGTAGAAGACCAGCACGGTGAGGCAGGAGATGAGCAGGCAGGGGGTGATGAGGTTGATGGTGTAGAAGAGGGGCAGGCGCCGGATGACAAAGTAGTAGGTGACATCGGGGTAGATCTCGGCGCAGCAGTCGTACTTCTTGCTGTTGTACGTGCCTGTGGCGTTGACGATCGCCCACTCGCCGCTCTCCCAGTAGTCCTTCAGGTCCACGGTCTGCTCCATCTGCTCCAGGTCAATCTTGGCCTTGTCGTATGTCCAGGAGCCGAACTTCATCTTGCAGTTCTGCTGGTCGAAGGGGAAGAAGGTGACGTCGATGCTGCAGGAGCTCTTGTAGATGGCCGGGGGCACCCAGTGCACGGTGCCCGTGGAGAAGAGGTGGGCCTTGGTCATGTGGTTCACCACAAACTCCCCATCTGCACTGAGGAGAGGAGAGCACATGGAGGGCCTGGCACACCTACCTGCCCAATAACAAAGCCAGATCTGGCCAAGCTGGGTTTGAAGCCAGTGTGTGGGACTCTCCCAGCACATTTATAGCTACTGGAGTTGTCTTTCCAAGCACCTGTTTTTAAATTACAAAGGTAGGCATTTCGAAGAATATGAAAATATTCCAAGAATGTCAAAAACAGCCACTATTAACATTCTGATGTTATACATACCTTATATATTTGATATGTAACATTTTTACATATTTATGACAATGGAGTATGTGTAGTTTGATTTTTCTGTTTGTAGTCATTTAATAGTTTAAAGTGATTATTTATGAGCATGTTTTCTCTCCCCAGCAAATGGTAAGGCCCTCCAATGGGAGTCATGTCTTGTCCACCTGGGAATTTTAGCACCTTGCTGAGAAGAGACCCAACATCTTTGCTAGTAAAAGAAGGTAATTCCTTGACACCATCCATTTACCATGCATTTCTGAGCCAGCCTCACCCACTAGGGCCTACATGGGAGCTGAGGGGGGACACAATGTGAGACTCAGCCTGCCCTTAGGGAACCAAGAGGAAATGAGAGGCAGCCCAAACACCCACCACACAAGGGAGGCAGTTTGACCACAGCACTCTGAGGGCTGGCCGAGCTCCTCAAGGACTGTGGGGGGACACCTCTGGCTGGAGTGAGCAGGGTCACCATGAAAGTGGCCATTTGAACAAGGCCTTGACCGACGATGGTAGGATGTGGCGGAGAGATGAGGTGAAGGGGGTCCCAGAAGAGACCCCTCCAGAACAAGAAACAGAGGCGGAAGGAGACAATTCATAGGGTGTGCTTCGATCAGAGGGGCAGGGCCTGCTGGGTCATGGAGCTGGACGTCTAAGGGCCCACCGGGGTTCTGGGGACACTGGAATAGTGACCAGTCAGTGGGGCTTCCTGGGAGCCTGAGTCCCTGATTATCCCTGGGAGGTGATACAAAGTATTCCAAGCTAGAGATTAGAAAATGGGAACCTTTTAAAGAAAGGTTGGAAACTGAAACTTTGAAGGAGAGTAACAGGTCAGGGCAAAAGTTTAAAAACCTTTAAAGGCATTTTTGTCATCACACATAATCACCACTAGATGGCAACATGGGCCCTGTTTTGAGGAAGGAAAGCGCACTTTCTTGATCTTCCTGTAAACCTGGAAAAGGGCTTTTGGGTGGAGGAGATCCTTCTTTAAGTGTAAGAATTTGGTTTGGACTTTTGTCCTATTGTAAGAATTATCTGTTATATTCAAGCAACACTGGCCGAAGCCTTATTAGCAGTCCTAAAACTCCAGGGCATATCTGATGCTAAGGACTTTGCTTCTATCTTCTGCCAGATGCACAGGAAGCAGAAACTAGATGGATCTTGGGTACGGGCTCCGGGACACAAAAACATGGGGTGAGGTGTCCGTGCTTCTGGTGGCAGCAACAGACACCAGGCACCCGCGGTGTTAAACCTCCCAGATAACCCATGCTGTTTACAGAAATGGCTCCAGTGAGAGGGTATCATTGTCAGTCTCCTCTGACCTACCTGGAGGCACCAAAACTCCAGCAGTGGACCTTTCCCCTCTGTTTTATTGTTGTTTTTTTAAAAAAAGGCTTTTCCAAATTTGGGTCAAATGAATTGGGAAATGCTGGGCTGAATTGGCTTCTTGGCTGCACAACTTCTAACATTTAAATGCTACTGTGTACTGACATTTTCCAAAGGAACAGTAGGGTCAACAGTGTTATCCAGAATTATTTGACTACAGGGCCATTTTTCACATCTATTCATATCTCTAGGAATTCCTTAGAGCCCCATGTTAGAAAACATTTTAGATGAACATAGTGCCAAATATCTTTTAATTTTAAATTCTTGACTTCTAAATGAAGAACTATCTGCTACCAAACACTAAGTAAAATTATAGGTCTCTATTTCTTCTATCAAAAAAAATAGACTGTTGCCCAGCTGGCGTGGCTCAGCAGTCGAGCATCGACCTATGATCCAGGAGACCGGGGTTCGATTCCTGGTCAGGGCACATCCTGGGTTGTGGGCTCAATCCCCAGTAGGCAGCCAATCAATGACTCCCTCATCACTGATGTTTCGATCTCTCTCTCTGAAATCTCTCCCTTCCTCTCTCTGAAATCAATAAAAATATATTTAAAAAAAATAAACTCTCTCCCCAGGGCTCTTTTTAGACTCCCCTGCCTTTTATTGGCTTCTAGTCATTATGCTCAAAGACTGGTCCTTTTTAGTCTTGAATACAAGGCAACTATAAGTAATATGATTTTAAAAAATACCCACACCAAGTGAGCTTGCTCCCTTGAAGGGAGGGTGTTACCTCGAAGGGAGCAACACTGCCACCCTGCAATACTCCAGCCCTTAGGCATTGTTTTCACAGCCTGCACCAACCACGTTTTTCAAATAATAGTGTTGGCAAATCTGTGTCCCACTAGCACAGCACCAGGCACTGATGCATAGTAGGTGCTCAGTAAATATGGGTGTATGAGTAAGAGAACAAAATGAAAGAAATAGAGAAATCAAGAGAAAAGCTAAGAGTGGGGGGTACTAGTAGCAAAGCAGAACGTGAGATGGGGCAGCGAAGGTGAGACACGAGGGGGAGCACTTCCCAAGTCCAACCCAGAAACTCCTTCCAGGGGGCCTCCCAGGCGACTTCCCAGGACCCCAGCGGCTTCCTACTTGTTGTAGAGGACAATGTCAGGGATCCAGATCATCTCCGAAGGGACTCGGAGGGATGTGATGTTTCCGAACTCGGCCGGGTTCCAGCGCAGCTTGTGGTCACTCCACTCCTGCGTGTGGGGAGGGGAGTCAGGGCACCTGGTCCTGCGGGAGAGGAGGTCTCGGGGCAAACACAGGGCAGCCTGGGGCCGCCCAGCAGCAGGGTTCAGGAGCAACACGGAGCTCCTCATCCAGCCCCAGGGAGTAGAAAGGGCTCCGAGCTGGGAATCGGGAGGCTGCTCTAACACGCCCGGCCCTCTCTCCTTCGCCAGGCTCTAGTGTTCAGAGTTCCTGGCACTCTTAGTCAATAAGTCATCCTAGTCCCACCTCTATTCCTCATTCTGCCACTTCCTAACTGGACGACTTCGGGGGACCACAGCAGTCATTTGCAGCAGCATTTTTAATGCATCACAATTTACAAAGTTTTTTGCAGTCAATGGGAGAGCTGGGCAGGAAATGCCAAGCAGGTAGAAGTGTTTTTCCCTTTAACAGATAAGGAAACTGAGGACCAGAGAGGTAAAAACCTGCCAGAATATTCAGCAGAGAGTCAACCAGTGACTTTCAAATTGTGCTCCAGTGCGCCCTCCAGGAGCCCCAGCAGGGCTCACACCACCCGATCCAAGGGAATCTGTTTTCTCCCCAAACCAGGTTAGTCTTACTCTCTGAAGTTTCCTCTACGGCATTGTCATAAGTGGAGACTATATGTGGACGTGCGTGTTTATTGATTTAGAGCCTCTGTAAGGTCCATGAAGCCAAGGACAACATCTGCATTGCTAGCACCAGGCCTCTGGTAGATGCTCAATACATGAGTATCCCAACAATGAAAAAACTCCAAAGTTGTCCCTTCTGGACCAAAAAGGAACAATTATCCCCAGCAGAGAATGACTGGTATTGACACACAAGCCTGTCCTTTGCTTCACAGAAGCTTATAATAATGAAAATAATAACCATTTATAAATCAACTACGTTGGGGGCCCCTAAATCATTCTTTCTAATCATCGCGACAATCAACGAGCTGGGGTGAGGAGAGTGAGGGAGGGGTGCGCTGCTAGTAGGTGGCAGCACTGGGCTTGATTCCCCGCCTCCCCAGCCCCAGGCCGGCCCTAAGTAGAGGGGCCGTTTTGCTTTTGCACATTTGCACTAACACAGAGCAGTGCTGCAACCTGGAAAAGGCCCCGTGCATGATGCCTTTTCCCTCTAGGGACAGTCGTGTAACATTTACACAAATGCGTCAGCCTGGGTATGGACCAGGAAGGAGAGGAAGCAGGCACCTGAGAGGAAAAGCACTGGCCCTGCTCCCGCCTTCACCACGGAGGGGCCCTCACCTGCTTTAGCCAGACGTTGGTGGTCATCATTTGGTTCTTCTCATCCTGGCCAGTAGGCAGCGGGAGAGAGGGTAAGAGCAGTTAGAGTGATGGAACCAGCCTCAGCAGACAGGGTGACTGGGAGGGCTGATTCAAGCCCCTCTCTCACCAGAAGGTCCTCTTATATGATACAGCAAGCCCAGCCCAGCCAACACCCGACCTCACGCTGGACCCCTTACTCAGATTCTTCAGGATCACCCAGGCCACTTGGGTCCTCTGGACTTGTGTCCAGTGGAAATAGTACAGCATCTAGGAAACCCACCGCTAACTCAGTGCCCTCCCAGGAGGGGCTCCAGGGCTGGGAGGGAGGGAAGCTCTGATTGAGGTGCTCTTGGGGGACCGGAAGGGGAAGGGCTGGAGCTAGGGAGCGAGGGAGGACGCCAGGAAAGGGGCCTGCTATCTGGGGCTGATCCCAAGGGCTCAAAGGGTGGCGGGGCAGGCATACCACATCGATGAGCTGGGCGATGGACAGCCCGAAGCGCACGATGACCACGTCCGAGGTGTTGGGCACTGGCCGTGCCCAGCGGTTGTAGCCCCTAAAGAGGTGTTTGAAGAGGCGATCCTCGGCTTGGGTGTGGGGGGCTCGCTGCTCTGACACTGTGGGACAGGCAGGAAGAGTGGGGTCCCTGGGAGTCCATGGGGGTGGGTGCTCAATTCCCTCTCCCATCAAATCAGAGCCACTCAACCTCACTGAGCCTCAGTTTCCTCATCTGCAAATTGGGGACTCTACCCAGAACCTATCTCACAACGCTGTTGATGAGTAAATATAATAGTGTACATAAGAACTTAAAGCAACCAGCATGGTTAGAGCTCAAGAAATGTCAGTTGCTCTGTGACTATTTGCTAAGGAGGCATGGAAATAAATGTTGGGAGGGGTGTCCAGGCAGAGCAGGGGGGAAGAAGTCAGACAGAGACCAGGTTTAGCCTAGGGCTGAGGAGCTAGGAAAAAAGTGTCCCAAAATTGTCTGATGGAACTCCTCATGTCTGCTCTTTGAACAGCTAAACCTCTTAGGGGTCTGCTGCCTGAGCAAGAGGAGNCAAAATTGTCTGATGAAACTCCTCATGTCTGCTCTTTGAACAGCTAAACCTCTTAGGGGTCTGCTGCCTGAGCAAGAGGAGACTAAAATGCAGAAAAGCATATCAATAGCGATAGTCGCCATGTATTGAGAGCCAGCTGTGTACCAGGTGCTAGTCACAGACTCTCATTTCATGTGATCCTTACAATCGACCTGGGGGGCTCACAGCCCGATTGGCATTTACAGATGAGGGACCTTGAAGCCAGGGGAGGTTCAAGGTAACCCAGCTGCCAGGTCAGAGCTGTGAGCGCCCCGCTCCACTCTCACTGTGGAATGAGCTACTTAAAGTCCCTGCAGATTTGCTGGTTGCTATGAGCCCGCCTGCAGGGGTTTCCTCCACAGCCCGTGAGCTTGCAGGCGTGGCATGATGTCCTAGTGATGACGCTCACTCACCTGCTGGCATCAGAAGGAGCCACCACAGGCCAAGCTTTGTCATGGGTGGGAGTGCAGGATGGGAGGGGCCCATGGCTTCAGAGGAGAGGCCTCGCTTGGACATCAGAAGGAGGGCAGGCCAGGGCTTTGCTGTGGGTTGAACCTCGGCAGCTTCCCCAGCAGGGCCGCAAGCTGCTGACAGGCAGAGCTCCCGCTGGATTCCACGCAGCTCCCTCTCACCGCCAAACCTGAGCAAGCCCAGGAGAGTGTCTTAGGGGCATGCACCCTAGATACAGATGTGCCTTTGCTCCCCACACTCCACACAGGTGTGAAAGGTCAGTGACCAGGCCTCCCAGGAGGAGAGGGCTCTTGGGCTCTCCCTGGTTTGAAGAACCAGCATCTTTCACTTTCTCAGGGTCAACCAGCTACTCTGCCCTAAGATAAGCCCTGACCCACTGGGCAGAGGAGGCCACAAGATGAGACCAAAGTCCTCGTTTTTCTGACCTCAGTGTTACATGTGTAAAATAAGGATAAACATACTGAAAAGGGTGGCCAAAAGAAGAATTTCGGTGCTATTTATGCTAGCCAAAAGCTGGAAGCACCCAAAGGCCAGTCCACTGAATGGATCAACAAAACATAGTACGTCCATACAATGGAATACTATGCAGCCATAAAAAAGAATGTGGTGCTGACACACGCTACAGCATGAATGAACCTTGAAAACGTTATGCAAAATGAAAGACACCCAACGCAAAAGGCTGCATATTCTATGATATATGCAGATGCAATATCCAGAATAGGTAAATCTATGGAGACAGGAAGCAGATTAGCGATTGCAGGGTTGGGGGAAAGGGAGAAGAGGTAGTGACTGCAAATGGTACAAGTTTCTGTTTGGGTGATAAAAATGTCCTGCAATTAAATAGTAGTGATGGTTGCACAACTCTGTGAATATACTAAAATTCACCAAATTGTACGTTTTAAATAGGTGAATTTTATGGTATGCAAATTATAGGTGAATTTTATGGTATGCAAATTATATCTCCAAAAAAGCTGTTATTGAAAAATAATTAAACATCTTCTGGAATTATAAGAAATAGCCAACTCTCTTTAGACTGTAGAGATGGTAATATAAACCAAATCACAGGTAGCTGATTCGAAAACTGATTCTAGTTATGAGGAGGACACTGCTGTCAAAGATGTGAGAGAGTTGAGGGAAAGCATATTTTTAAGTTAATGTATTATTTTATATAGTATGTGATTTAAAACATGTGTCTCTGGAAAATGTAGTAAATATTATCCTAAAAAGTTTACATATTCAAGTTAGTGCTTAAAGAAAACAACCTTCTTTATTGGAAGACTGGGATTGTCTTATGTTCAGGCGCATATTGTACATATCAGTGTGTTAGGCTTTGGCCAGGTCCTCAGGATAGTGCTGACTCTCAATCCAGATAACGGGCACTGGGGTTTCCTTTTAAGATGCTGAGAATACTCTGGAACTAGATAGGGGTGATAATTTGTACAACATTGTGAATGTACTAAATGTCACTAATGGTAAATTTTATATTGTGTATATTTTACCACAATTTAAAAAGAAAAAAGGATATGAGTGAAAGTGCTTTAACAGTGCCACCGCTGAGTACATGTTGGAATCAGAATTATTATTAATGGAGTCACAAAACCTGTTCAATCTGAAGACAGAGAAGAAGGGAAAGAAGGAAAATTCCAGATTCTCATCTGCTCACCCACTCCTGCTTTGGGGCATGACTTTGCTCAGTTAGCCCCATTGGTTCCAAAGCTCTGCCAAGAGGCCCGTGTTCCCAGAGGTCTTCCCTCCAGGCTTTTTACAACTCCTTCTATTGGGACGTCCTCCCTGAGACTGAGTCTGATTCTGCATAAACCTCGGAGATGCCTGAGTTGAGCTGAGTGAGTTGAGTTGAATTTAAAGACTCTGGTGTCGCCACCTACTAAATTTCATCCACACCTGGGGAAAACTGCAGGACAAGGGAAGTTTTTTTCTCTGCTTTCTGCCCTCATTCCAAACCTGACAAGCACAGAGCTCCCTTTCTCGTTCCTTTTCTCTCTCCCATCCTCTGCCCTAGCCAACTTAGGATTCTCATGTGTCCCATCCCTTCCTAACTTACCTGGGGATGTCAGTGACTTCACTACTACCTGACCGCTACCATCACCACCATCTAGAAGTTTTGTTTGCTTGTTAAAATGAAGAGAAGTTTTAAAATGCAGTTGTTCAGCCCGGCTGGCGTGGCTCAGTGGTTGAGCGTCGACCTATGATCCAGGAGGTCCTGGTTCAGCTCTGGGTCAGGGCACATGCCTGGGTTGCGGGCTTGATTCCCAGTAGGGCGATTGTGGGAGGCAGCCGGTCAATGACTCTCTCTCATCACTGATGTTTCTAATTCTCCCTCTCCCTTCCTCTCTCTGAAATCAATAAAAATGTTTTTGTTTTTTTTTTAATTAAATTCAGTTGTTCAGTGCTCTTATCACCCATGCGTGAAGAGTCTCTGCTTTGTTTTTGGTTAGCTGCAAGAAAACAGGGCTGGGCAAGTGCAGGGAAAGAAGATTCCAGGGTCCCCTTGAATGACAACTCCTAGATTTTCCTAAGAACTATTTGTTTTTGTGTAACTTTTGTGCCTTTGACTTCATTTGGGCATCACATCACCCGTAGGAGGGCATGGGGAAGAGATATTATTATCTCTTTTATGTAAATTTTTAAAATACTGATGTTCTAAAATGTTGACTGATTTGCTTCTAAACTATAATGTGGTAAAGTGCTACCCAGTGGCACCAACCAGGAGGGCGATTTTGTGAGCACCTCGGCCAGTACTTGCATGTGTTCTACAGTCATCTAATACTACGACTGTCGTTGCTGAGCCACTGCCAGAGCTGAGGTCTGCAGCCGACCAGGTGGTGAGGAAGGAAAGCTACCCCACCCCAAAGCCAGACTCACCTAGATCCAAGGTTGATCTTCTATGTGCAAATTCACTCACTCCTCCAAGGACAGGCATCCGTAAATGAGATTCAGTCGACTCTGGAGGACATATCCCTGCAAGATGCCTCAAATTTGCATCCCTTGTAATTAGCCCACTATGATAATTTCATTAATTTGTCGCTGGAAACCAAAGGAGCAATTGTTCCAGGTAATTGACAGTAATTAGAGTAACCTTCTGCCTCCCAATTAGAAAGATACTAAAAGAGAAAGAGCCCAAACCCTTTGATCCTGGAAGTGGCTGGGTTGGCAGGCTTGGAGAGAGGTGGCTGTGAGGTGATGTCCCTGCATGTAAAGTGGACCTGGGTGAATTGAGGTCCACAGAAAAACCAACACAAAAATAGTGCATATGCAAAGGGCTCAGACACCAGCGTTCCTGCTGAGCTTGTATTGCTGCTGATGTATGAGGGTGCCCAGACCCCCCACCCCAACTCACTGCAGCCTCTGTCGCCCACCTCTGGAATCCTGGTCCCATTGAAGTCAGGGTTACTTGGGCTCGCTTCTTTGTCCATCTTCCTACTGCAGCTGGTTTTCAACTTCACACCCACCAGGTCACTTTCTACTCTTTTCAGAGGCACCGACTCCTCCAGAAAGTCTGCTCAGATCCCGTCAGCCCCTCCCCGCCAGCAGCACCCCCACCGCCCCCAGGGTGGGCGTCTCAGCTCTCCCACAATCCAATACCCCAAAGGAAGCCCTTCGATGAAAGGAAATAATACTGTTTCTTCTTCCAAATCATTTCACTAAAGGTCCTTAGGGGAGAGGGAGCATAGTGGTGGCTCTTATATCTGCTCTGCTCAATAAATGAATCAATTGCAAAAGCTTGACGTCTCGAGGTTGGGTGAATCTTGAAAGGTCATCTGGGTCACCACACCAGCTGATGTAGGAATCCTCTCCACAGATTCTAGCCTCAGAAAACCCCCGGAATGGAGAACTTGCTACCTTCCAAGGCAGTGAATACCACTGATGTCTGTGTTGTTCTTAAAGGACACAGAGTATTTACTAAATGAATCAATAAGTGACAAAAGAAGGAATAGGAGTAATAATGACATCGCAGCAGATTCACTAGAGTAAAACGATAACTCCTGAAACCGAGCTACCCTTCCGAGTGGGAAGGGTTGCCTGTCGCTGTACTCTGAACAGCCCTGGCAGGGACAACCAGAAGACTAACATTTTTCTAGGAGCAGGCAACTTCCAGCACTCTGACACACCCCCTCCTAGGTACCCAGAAGCTACTGACCTGCTAGTATCCCTTAGACCTCACCCCCACAAAGTTCCCATACCCACAGTGTCCCCAACATAAGCCTTGGGAGCATCTTTCTTACCTATGGCCACAGAAGAAGACGGGCCATTCAAAGAATGCAGAGAACCAGCCTGGCTTGGAGATTCTGGTCAGCTGACAAAAGTCTACCCCGAACCAGAGAGGCAGGAGCAGAGCAGAGCCGGGTGGCTTCATTTCATAGTCAAACAGAGGCGAGGGCAGGACACACCTTGGCAGATGAGGAGGATCTGACTGAGGTTCCAGCTGGTTTCCTGGGGAGGGCTGGACAGGTTCTGCAAGCAGGTCGGTTTGCCTGGAACTCTCAGCTCTGGCAGCCAGGGAAGCTTCGTGCAGGCGCCACTGAGGAGGGGGCCGTGGAGAGCTTGACACAAAGGCTTCTGCAGGCACAAGGCAAACCAGGGCGCAGGAGGGACTGCTGGCTTGGCGAGCACACAGAGTCACGCTCCTTCTCTCCCTCTCTCTCCCTCTCTCTCTCAATCTCTCTCTCTCTCTCTCACACACACACACACACACACACCCTCTCTGGAGGAGAGGAGGAGGAGCCTGACTATTCAGTCTGTGTCCAGTGGGGACAGACAACAGATTTGCTTTCCCTTGTCCAGTTACTAGGATGTTTTGCTCTTTGCGTTGAAGGACCCCATGCCCCTGGATCATTGCCTTGGCCCCTGACCCACCCTCAGGTGGGGAATCTCCTGGGTCCTGGGTCTGTCTGTCGACAGAGCCGTATAGTTTTGAGTAAAAGAGTACAGAGGACAGAGTCACCGGACAGCCAGCCTACAGTTCTCTCCTTGCCCTTCTCCTCTGGAGGAACCCC